TATTATTATTATTATTATTATTATTATTATTATTATTATTTTGTGTGTATGCATGTGAGGGTCAAAGGACAATACTGTGGAGTCAGTTCTGCCCTCCTATCTTTACATGGGTTCCAAGAATCAAATTCAGGTCACCAGGCTTACACAGCAAGTGCCTTTACCCACTAAGCCATCTCACCAGCCCAGCACTTTTGTACTAAGAAAATGCATGGTTATGTGTCTCTAGTCTTTAAATTTTTTTATTTTTATTTTATGTGTTCAAGTACTTTACCTGCATGTATGTAAGTGCACCCATGTGTACAATGCTCACAAAGGCCAGAAGAGGGTGTCAGATCCTCTGGAACTGTAGTTACACAGCTGTTAGCCATCATGTGTGCAGGGAACCAAACCTAGGTCCTCTACAAGAGCTGTTAGTTGTCTTAACCACTGACCCATCTCTCCAGCCCAAGCTTAAGTACTGTTGGGTCATGTTTCCAGTCCCTCATCGTTAAAAAAATGGTAGGTAAGAACATGTATTTTGTTGTTGGAGGACAATCTGATACCATATAGATCCAACTGAACATATTTCTTAGCCCAGCAATTCCATTTACAAATGAATCATCAACACTTAATCTGACTTGCATGTAAATCACTGTTTGCCAAGAACAAGGCTTAGAATACTCACATCAACTGCAGCATCCTCATCATCTGAATCTTGTAAACCAAGAGCAGCTTTTTGTAACTTCTTCCTCTCATTAGCCAAAGCTTGTTCTGTTTCATCAAACTTGAATCCCTTGCCAGAGAACCCACTACTCTTCTTAATTATTTTTCCTTCCTTTCAAGAAAAAAAATTAACAAAATTAATTTTACAGTAAGCACTATTAAATATTTTTCAAAGCAGACCATGCCAACTTAACAAAAATATTCCACTTTACATGTTAAAAAAAGAAAGAGTTCTATATAGTCTTCACAAAAAAGAATCTATTTTCATTTTTTCCTTACAAAGAAGTAAGTGAGGGCTGGAGAGATGGCTCAGAGGTTAAGAACACTGGCTGTTCTAGCAGAAGACCCAGGTTTGAATCCCGGCACCCACATAGCAGTTAATAACTGTCTGTATCTCCAGTTTCAGGGGATCTGACACCCTCTTCTGTCCTCTGAGGGTATTGCACGACATGGGTGTACTTACATACATGCAGGCAATACACATACACATAAAATAAAAACTATAAATAAAGCATTTAAAAAAAAAGAAATAAGTGAAAATAGTTACCAAGATACCCAAGTAACATATAGGTATATTAATCATTTGTGTAAAAAAAGCTTAAAAACTCACAGCTTTCTGCTGATCTTTGAAATCACTCCAAAGTTTCTCCAAATCAGGAGGCACTGCAGTCCCTGACAATTCAAGGGCTTTAATTATGTCACCAGCATATCGAGCTTGATCTTCTGTGATGAAAGTATAGGCATAACCCTAATGAACAATGAGGAAGCAGAATCAGACACAAGCAGGATGAATCTACTTGGCTCACCAGCAGGATAATAAACCCTTTAAGACTGACACCATTACTGAAGAATTAAAAAAAGTCCTATTAAGTTATTTAACAGTTCAAGATAAGCTATATGTTTACTATATATATGTATAGATTTTTGTGGTGGGGTTCCTTTTTGAGACAGGGTCTCCCTGTAGCACCAGCTGTCTAGAACTTGCTATGTATACCAGGCTGGCCTTGAACTCACAGAGATCTGCCTGCCTCTGCCTCCCGAGTGCTCTTATTAAAGGTGTTCACTAGAGCAGCAAAATGAGAAAAAAAATAAGAGATGCAAATAGGAAGGAAGAAATCAAATCCCATTTGTAGATATGATCCTCTACTTTAAAGACCTTAAGGATAGCCAAGCATGGTGGCACAGTCCTTTAATTGAAGCACTTGAGAGGCAGAAGCAGGTGGATCTCTGAGTTGGAGGCCAGCCTAGTCTACATAGTGAGTTCCAGGCCAGGTGGGGCTACAGGGAGACCCTGTCTCAAAAAAAAAAAAAAATTTCTAAGGACTGTACCAGAAAACTCTTAGATGTTATAAACACTTGCAATAAAGTAGCAAAATATGAAATTAACATACAAAAAACAGTAGCTCTTCTATATACCAATAACAAACTGACCGAGAAAGAAATGAGGAAAAATACCTCATTCATAGTAGCTTAATCTAACCAAGGAGATAAAATTTTGATTTCTACATAAAAATGTTAAGGCATTAAAGGTCACTAAGCTGGTAGGGCGCTTGCATAGCACACACAAAGCCCTGTGTAAACCAGGCATGGTGGCACACATCCCAGCACACAGGAGGTGGAGGCAGGAGGATCAGAAGTTTCAAGGTCATCCTCAGCAACACAGTTGAGTTCTAGGCCAGCCAGGCTACAAAGAGACCCTATCACAAAGAAACAAACAGCAACAATAAAAAACTCCAAAAGCAAACAAACATCAAAAAAAAAAAACACTGAAGAAATTGAAGAGTGCACTGTAAAAGGTAAAGATTGCTGATAGGCAGAAATAATATTGTGAAAATGGCTATATTACCAAGAAAGTTGTCTACAATGTAATCCTTACAAAATTCCAATGACACATTCTTCACAGAATTAGAAAAAACAACCCTAAAAATCACATGGAAGTACAAAAGACTACAAACAGCCAAAGCAATACTAAATATAGCAATTATATAGACATATTCCTGACTTCAGATTATACTACAGAGCCATAGTAATAAAGACAACACAGCACTGGCACAAGGAGAGACATGCAGACAAATACAACAGCAGGCCTGACAGAAACCCACAAAGCCACAGCCACAGCCACCTCATTTTTGACACAGGTGTCAAAAACAAACTTTATCAAATGGTGCTAGGAAAAATGGCTATCTATAAGCAGAAGGATGAAATTAGATACACCTCTTACCCCACACAAAAACCAAGTCAAAGTGTACAAAAATCAATTCAAAATGTATCAAAGATCTTAATATAAGATCTGAAACACTAAAGCTGCAAGAGGAAAAGTACTTCAAGATACAGGCATTGTGTTATATGGTCTGATGAATGATCTATGATAGTCAGGTTTTCTGTTTTGAAAGGATGCGTTTATTAAGTATACAGCAAGCAAAGTAACAGAACAAAAAGTGAGTTATCAGACAGTGAGAAACAGCATAGTGACACAGGTACTCACAGTATCCAACAGAGATGAGGGAAATGGCCCAGTGAGAGCAAACAGGTAATATTATCAAAGTGGGGGCTGACAAATATCCAGCAGAAACCAACTGAGGAAGCTGAAGCAGTCAGCAGCAGTTTCTGATTCCGCTCTCTGCCCTCTCCACGGATGAGCTTCTGCCTTCCCTTTCCCACTACAAGCACATCATGGGATGAACAACAGTAACCTCTGTTGGAAACTGTTTACCTTCTGGCTGTTCTCAAGGATACAATTGTTCTTTAACTCTAGGCTGTTTTCCTGTTCTCTCCCTGTCACAGAGTAAGAGCAGGCAGCCCATTCCTGGACAAGGGGTTTTGGAGGATACTTTGAAACAAATAAACTTGATCTGAAATTGGAAAGGGTGGCAAGCCTGGTTCCAGAAGCAGTTTCTTGGTGAGCTCAAACACATGACAATTTACCAATATAATGTACACTCCAGGTATGTACAAGAGCTTTCTGAAAAGAACTTCAATAGCACAGGAAATAACCCCAAGAATTGATAAATGGGGTTACATGAGATTAAAAAGTTTCTGAATTGGAAATAGTAAACAGGGTTAAAAGACAGTCTTTCTGTTCTTTAACAAAAGGAAATCAATTATTCAGACAGTTAATGTCTAAAACATTAAAATTATACCAGACATGGTGGTTCACACCTTTAATCCCGGCACTTAGGAGGCAGAGGCAGGCGGATCTGTGTGAGTTCAAGGCCATCCTGGTCTACAAAGTGAGTTCCAGGGCAGCTGGGGCTACACGGAGACCCTGTCTCAAAAAAACCAATAAATAAACAAACAAATAAATAGATAGACCCTGTCTCAAAAAGACAAATAAATAAGTAAACAGATAAAATTAAAACCGGCTAAAATTAAATCCCCAAACTCAGATCTTCCCATCAATAAATGGACTAATGAACTGCAGATATTTCTACAAAGTAAGGAGCACAAATGACCAATACATACCTTATTTACTTCGTATGTGTACAGACATGTTGGGTATGTGTACATGCATATGTATACACATGCATGTGGAATTAGGGGACAATCTTCAGTGTCAATTCTCAGGTGCTGTATTTTGAGACAGAGTGTCTCAATGGCCTGGAGTAGGCTAAGTAGGCTAGGCTGGCTGACCAGCAAATCACAGGGATCCCTGTCTCTAGCTCCTCGGTGCTGAGATTACAAGTGCATGCCAACACAACCAGCTTTTTATTTGAGCCCTAAGGATTAAACTCCGGTCTTCACTGACTGAGCCATCTCTCTAATTCCCTGGCAATATGTAAAGTGCTCAACATCCTTGCCAGGGAAAAGCAAATTAAAACTACTTTGATATTCCTCTCACCCCAGTCAAAATGGTTAATGTTGAGAAAACAAATTACAGCAAATACTGACAAGGATTTGGGGAAAGTGGAACCATTATTCACTGCTGATAGGAATATAAAGTGGTATAGCTACTACAGAAATCAAAAAATCCAAAATCAAAATGACCCAGATGTAACCACAGGTGATTGGATGATGAAAATATGGTATATACACACAGTGGATTTTTATGTAGATGTAAAGAAAAATTAAATCATGACATTTTCAGGAAAATGGAACTGGAAATCATTATAAGTAAAATAAGCCTGACTCAAAAGACAAAAACCACGTTTTCTCTCATATGCAGATTCTAGATTCATACGCACTCGTGTGTGTGTGTGTGTGTGTGTGTGTGTGTGTGTGTAAGTAATACGAGTCATAAAATGAAAAAACAGGGTCATTAAAGAAGAAAAGATCTTGAGCAGGGGAGGAAAAGAGGTAATAGGGTATATGTGACAGGAATGTATAAGGGGACCAGAGCAGAGAGAAAGGGAGGCAGGGGAGTTGCCCAATAAGAACAATGGGTTTTTGTTTTGTTTTGTTTTGTTTTTGAAACAAGGTCTCACTATGTTGACCTGGCTGGCCTGAAACTCACTATGTAAATCAAGCTGGCCTCGAATGTCTCTTCAGTGCTGCAATTAAAGGCACCTACCACCATACCAGGCCTTACAACGTAAATGTTAAACCACCATAATGAAACTCATTACTTTGTATGCCAACTTAAAAAAAATTAAACAAAAGATAAGTAGAAATACATGAGATTTTACAGAAACACACAAATGTATTAACATTTTCTATACATTTCTACACTACACATTTTCCTCTGCTTGTATCACATGGTACCACTTTAGCCTATATTAACACTTTGTATATATGTGTGCATGTGGTACACATACATGCATAGGGGCCAGAGGTTGGCAGGCGTATGTAGCCCTGACTGCTTCTGCCATGCATCACCTGACCAGCATTTTTACCCCTGGTTTTTAAGACAGAGTCTCACTCTATAGCACAGGCTGGGCTTGAACTCAAAGCAAGCCTTCTGCTCAGCTTTCCCAGTGCTGGAATTGCATGCATGAGTCACCATGCTCAGGTTTAACACCTCAGTTATGGAGATATACATACATACACACACACACACACACACACACGCACACACGCACGCACACACCCCTTTCCATTTTGTAGTTTGTTTGCTGAGGCTGGGGGAGATGCTGCCTCTGCTTCCCAAGTGCTAGAATTAGAGACATGTACCACCATGCTCCACTCCTATCGACACAAAGTATGTATACGAGCATGAGTGTATATTTGATTATATGTATAAATCAGTTGTTTAAATTTTTTTTTTTTTTTGGTTACCGTTTTACAAAAACAGAATCAACTATAACCCCTTCCTGGGATTCTCTAAAGTATGTGCCACCTGAAGACATCCCAGCGACTTCTTAGCACAGGCAAGAGCAAGACTGGAGTAGAAGAGCTGCAAACCACACCCAGATTGTCATCTTCACAAAACATTCTGCACCGTGGGGTGGAGAGATGGCTCTGTGGTTAAGAGCACTGCTGCTCTTACAGAGGACCCAGGTTTGGTTCCCAGCACCCACATGGTAGCTTATAACCACCTAAAATTCCAGTTCCAAGGGCTCCAACATCCTCTTCTGGCCTCTGTGGGTACTAACACACATGGTATGCATACATGCATGCAGGCAAAATACTCATATACATAAAATAAAAAATAAAATCTTTTTAAACAGTGAAATAGGGGGACTGGAGAAATGGCACTGACTGCTCTTAGAGAGGACCCAGGTTTGATTCCCAACACCCACATGGCAGCTAACAACTGTCCTAACAACGGTTCCAGGGGATTCAAAGCGCTCATTTGACTTCATCAGACATTGCACAACATGGGTGTATTTACACAACATGCATTTACACTCATACACATGAAATAATAAAATGAAATCTTATAAAATAGATTATTCTGTCCAAAATTTAAGAACAATCTCATGATTACATTTCCATCCTCTGTTGTTGTGCTGCTGGAGAGAGAGAGAGAGAGAGAGAGAGAGTTTTATATGGTTATAAAGATACATACACACAAAAAGAAAGAAGGTATGACAAGAGGGTATGCATGGCCCACAAAGGTACACTTGCTCCTCCTCCACCATATATAGTCCAAGTCTGCCAACTCCTCAGAATATGTCAGCTAAAAGAGTGTGAGAGGTAAAGTGGTTAAGAGTACTTGCTGCTCTTGCAGAGGACCTGGGTTCAGTTCCCAACACCTCTGTGGTGGCTAACAACCTCCTGTAATTGCAGGTCCAGGGGATCCAATCCCCTCTTCTGACTTCCTTGGTTACCAGGCACGTAGATGGTATACATGCATACACACAAGCAGGCAATACACTCATATACATAAAATAAAAAATAATAAAAAAGATTTTTAAAATAATATCCTTTTTTCCCTTTTTTGGGGGGTCTTTTTGAGACAGAGTCTCCCTGTAGCCCCAGCTGGCCTGGAACTCACTATGTAGACCAGGCTGGCCTTGAACTCAACAGAGATGCCCCTGCCTCTGCCTCCCAAATACTGGGATTAAAGGCATGTGCCACCACACCCAGCTAATAAAAATATTCTTTAAAAAAGTGTCATTACAGGGCTGGAGAGATGGCTCAGCACTTAAGAGCACTGAATGCTCTTGCAGAGGACCCAGGTTCAATTCCCAACACCCACATGGCAGCTAACAACTCTTCTAACTCCAGTTCTAGGGGATCCAATGCCCCACTCTGACCTCAGCAGGCATTGCATGATACAGGTACACTTACATACATACAAACAATACACTCATACACATATAAAAAAATTTTAAAAAAATTAAAAGGGTCATTACTACTTACAACTTGTGTAGCCTTAAGAATGTGACAATTTTTATGTGTCTCAATTTTTCTCATTTATAAAATGAACTCTTATCTACCTTCGGGATAGAATGTGACAATTTTTATGTGTCTCAATTTTTCTCATTTATAAAATGAACTCTTATCTACCTTCGGGACATTTTAGGATGAAACAATATATATATAAAGAATTTAGAACACTGTCTAGTTTATGTCACTATGCTATAAATGTAAGCTACTATTAGTACTATTGTTACTCCATGATGTAACATTCATCAGAAAATCAAATGTGTTATCATTATCTCTAACAACAGAATATTCTGCTGTCTTCAAAAAGAAACACTGGCTGGGCCAAGGTTCTCAGTACCACCTCCAGGACTGCCAAAAAAGAAAAGAGAGGGAGGGAAAAAAAAAAAAAAAGGCCAGATGTGATGGCACAGAACTTTAGGTCCTAGCACTGGGGAGGCAGTCTACATAGTGAGTCTTAGACTAACTCAGGAGACTCTGTCTCAAACAAACAAAAAGCAATGAAATTTCCTTAATTATATAAATTTGTCTGTATGTATAGAAAAACTTTATGTAAGAGAAAAAAACTTGAAAAGATACAGTGTTGCATCTGTCTACAGAAAGCACTTAGGAATCTTCTTAGACATGTGTCTGTGTAACATCATCTACATTCTGCTATTTAAGGAGTCTTCAAGATATCCCTTTGAATATCTTCTATTATCTATTCTGTAGATAAAGATATTTGTAACAACAGAGGTAACAACAGAGATAACAGAGGTTATCATTTATTCCTTAAAATACTAAACACTTATACTTTATTATAGAAGAAATCAACTATAAAACTTTGTACTTTGTTGCCTGCTCTTCCAGTCCGTCCAGCTCTGTGCACATAATCTTCATAATGGTTGGGGCAGCTGTAATTCACTACAAGAATCAGATGCTTCACATCAAGACCACGAGCAGCCACAGAAGTAGCCACAAGAAGTTTGCAGGTTCCATTCTTAAAGTCATTTATGATGCTATCTCTGTCATACTGATCAATACCTGTGAATAAAGAGACAAGTGGTAAAGCACTGACATTTTCCATTTCCTCTGATAAAAAATCTAAACATGAAATTAAAAACAAATTCATACTTCCGACTCCCACAATACAGGAAGTAAAAGACTTAAAGACTGCTGCTGTTCAGTCCATGGACCATCCAAGTCTACACTGTTTTGTCCCCTTTTTTTTTTAAAAAAAAATTATTTTTATTATTTTTATTTTATGTATATGCGTGTATCATCTCCATATATGTAAGTACACCCATGTCTTGTGCAATGCCTGTGGAAGTCAGAAGAGGGCAGCAGATCCCCTGGAACTAGAGTTACAGATAACTGTTAGCCACCATGTGGGTGCTGGGTTTGAACCTGGGTCCTCTCCAAGAGTAGCTAGTGCTTTGAACCACTGAGCCATCTCTCCAGCCCCTTTGTCCCCCTCCTTGTACATCTAGTTACAATTGCAATTGCAAAAGCCCCATCTCAGAATCATCAATCTAAACCTGCTTTGGGCAAAAGTGAGAAGATGCAAGAACATTTAGCTGGTATCAACAGAATGCAGACCTTTCTTTGTGGGTTAAGAGGAAGAGAAGCAGCATTAACTAAGAGCTCACTAAATGCAGAACCTGAGGTTGGACTCCCAAATCACTGAATCAGAAAACCTTCAAGATCTTTACATGATCACCACATAATACATTACAGCTTGAAGAGTAATAGTATAAAAATGGCTAAATGGATCTCTCTTAAATATGAAATGCAAAGAGACTCAGGATAAGTAACAAAGTAGAGTATAGATCACAGTAATAAATACATGTCTGTTTATTACTGGATAATCAGGAATCTGTTAATAAACAAACAAATAGCATAAATTCTCAAACTTTAAATTCACAGGCACAGCAGATTTCACATAAGACCTGGATTTAGACATACACAGAGAGTCATTTTCTTTCTTGTAATGGTAGGAAATGGACTTGGGGCATCTGGCATGGTGGGCAAGCTCCCTATCACAGAACTATACTAATGAGCTCAAGTATCGAATATGTGTTCATGCAAATTTCTATTATGATCTAATTTTTTGTTTTTGAGGCAGAATCTTGTTTTGTAGTCCAGGCCAGCCTCAAACTCACTGTATAACTTGGGCTGGCCTTGAAGTTGAAACCTTCCTGCCTTGACATCCCAAGTGCCAGGATTACAGACATGTCACCAAGCTCAGCTTGCCAGCTAACAAACAAAAAATTTTCCCCCAAAACAAAACATTTTCTTTTTTTAAAAAACTTTATTATTTTTTATTTTATTTTATGTGTGTATTGCCCGCATGTAGGTAAGTACACCCATGTTGTGCAATGCCTGCAGAGGACAGAAGAGGCTGTAGGATCCCCTAGAACTGGCGTTACAGACAGTTGTTAGCTGCCATGTGGGTGCTGGAATTCGAACCTGGGTCTTCTGCAAGAACATCAGTGTTCTTAACCACTGAGCCATCTCTCCAGCCCAGCATTTTATCTTTCTAGAGCTAGGACTCACTCTACAGCCCAGGCTGGCCTTGTACTACTTAGTAGCACTCATTCTGCCTCAACCTTCAAAGTGCTGGAATTACAAGTGTGGGCTACTGTGTTTGGCTACTATATATGAAAGATTAAAAACATTCTTCAAAGGCTGATTTAGGGACTGGAGAGAAGGCTCAGCAGTAAAAAGTACTTGCTGCTTTTGCACAGGACCTAAGTTTAGTTCCTAGCATCATGTCAAGCAGTTCATGACCACCTGTGTGTAACTTCAACTCCATGGGAACTTATCCCTTGTCTAGCTTTTACAGGCACCTGAACATAAATACACAGACATAAACACATACACATTTAAAAGGACTGATTTAAAGGGAGTATTTTGATCTTATGCAAAAGAAACTGATCTCTAACACTGAACCAATTTGTTGTAAAAAAAAAATGAGGAGCTAGAGAAACTGAGCAGATAAGTACACTTGTCAGTCTTGCAGAATACCTAGGTTCAGTTCCCAGCACCCATATGGCAGCTAACAACCACATCTAACTCCCGTTCCAGTGGGTTCCAGTGCCTTCTTCTGGCCTCTGATGGCACTGCATTCATGTGGTACATACACATACATGCAATTAAAACAATCATATATATAAAATAAAAATAAATCTTTAAAAAAATTAATGGAATTAATATCAATACAAATTTAAGTTTGTTCTCAGTACTTGAAAAGTAGAGGAAGTGGATCTCTGTGAGTTCAAGGCCTGGTCTACATAGTGAGATTCAGGATAGCTGGGGCTACAGGGAGACCCTATCTCAAAAAGACCAAAAAAAAAACCAAAAAACCAAAAACCCCACGAAGTTTGTAATTCAAAAATACCAAAGCTTTTACTTTAGCCCATTGAACTACAAGCCTAACTGCACGTTTTATTCCCTGGAATTCAAGAAAATAGGCTAACAGGAGCATACTGAATTCATGCCCCAAAACCATTAACTTTTTTTCTCTTAAAAACAACCCCAATTTCAGAGCTGGATAGATGGTTCGACAGTTAAGAACACTGACTGTTCTTGCAGAAGACCCAGGTTCAAATCCCAGCACCCACATGGCAGCTAACAACTGTCCATAACTCCAGTTCCAAGGGATCCGACAACCTCTTCTGTCTTCTGCGAGCATTGCACGACATGGATGCACTTACCTACATGCAGGCAATACACGCAAATGCATAAAATAAAAATAACATTAAAAAAAAAAAAAAACACCCATTGTACCCCAATTGCCTCACCTTGCATCCTTGCGGTTTGTGTCCAGATTCCCTATCGGAAATTTGGGTAACCTCTTCAGAGGATGGTGTGATAATAGGAGGTAGAAATTGACTTGGCAGTTAGGGTAAAAAGACTCCAAAGAAAAGTAGCTAGTTTCTTGGCTAAAAGTCAAAATGTCCTTGGGCCTCTTAGCAACATACTCCATTCCAAATGTCAAAAATGTCAAAAGTATTTGGGAGCTCTTATCTAATCCCTAAAAGATTTTAGGGTTACCTCTTCAGAAGGGGGGAATGTTAGAGTAGCAAAGAGCCCCACAGATAGATGACAGATAGATGATAGATTGATGATAGAGAGATAGAGAGATAGAGAGATAGACGATAGATCGATAGATCGATAGATCGATAGATCGATAGATAGATAGATAGATAGATAGGTAGATAAATAGATAGGTAGGTAGGTAGGTAGATGATAGGCTTTCCAAAAGAACAGAGGCTGGCCTGGTTTGCTGGGCCTCCATGTTTCAGGCCTCCTCAGGGGTGGGGCTGTTTTAGGTTATCTGATTGCATTTATTTTCTTTTTTGGGAGGGGGATTTATTTTTATTTCATGTATGTAATTAAGCACACCCATGTGTACAATGCCCACGTCAGCCAGAAGAGGGTGCCAGATCCCCTAGAACTGGAATTACGTTGTTAGGCTCCATGTGGATGCTGGGAACCAAACCCGGATCCTCTGAAAAAGCAGTCAGTGGTCTTAACCACTGAGTCATTTCTCTAGCCCTTTGTTTATAAAGTTCTTTCTAAAACTTTAAAACTTTATTTTTATTTTACGTGTTAAGAGTGTATTGTTTGCATGTATGTAAGTGCAATACAATGCCTGTGGAGGTCAGAAGAGGGCTAGTTACCATGTGGGTGCTGGGACTCAAACCCTGGTCTTCTGCAAGAGCAACCAGTGCTCTTAACTACTGAGCCATCTCTCCAGTCTCCTGATTGCATTTCTTTACCTTTCTTTTCATATACTTTTGGCCAAAACTGCATCTCTCCTCTTTGCTGCTACGGTTCCCCATCTATTTATCAATCTAATACTAATCACTAGTCTTACTCTACTTTCTTTCCTTGTCACTTATATCCATTGTGACTAACATATTAGTACACAGACTACAAGTGTTCCTTTCTTCTTAAAAAAATTGGTATTTAAGGGATGGATTTTTTTTTCCCCAAGGTTTATTTATTCTTATCTTATGTGTATATGTGAGTGCCTGCATGGATATTAAGTGCACTGTGTGTGTGCCTGGTGCCCATATAGGCCAGAAGGCATCAGATCTCCTAGAACTGAAGTTACAGGTGGTTGTCAGTCACTATGTGGGTGTTGGAAACTGAACCTAGGTCCTCTGCAAGAACAGCCAGTGCTGTTAACTGCTGAGCTATCCTTCCAGCCCTGTGATTGTTTTTCATTTGGCTATTGTGTTGTTTTCATAGTAGACTTATCCTTGGCAGCAACTGATTTACAAATAGTATTCTGCTTTCAGGGACAATATGGGGATTAAACCTGGTGCCCTCACCATCAGCCTAGTAGAAGAAAAAGACTTCAGTGTTCTACAACCCAATCCCTCTTGAATGTTGCCAACAAATCCATTGAAAAAAAAATAAAGGTGATTTTAAAAAAAAATCAGGAGACAGCAAGATGGCTCAGTGGTTGAAGGTGGTTTCCGCCAAGTCTGATGACCTTAGTTCAATCCCTAGAACCTCCAGGGTGGCAGCAAGAGCAGTGGTGGTCTGACCTCCACATGTACACGGCACACCAACTCCAGAATGAATTCCAAGCAAACAAACAGATGAACGAAATAAGGAAGTCAACACAGGATATGAAAGTAAAATTCAACAAAGAGAAATTCTAAAAAAATATCCTAACAACTGAAAAACTGTAAATGAAGAAAAAAAAAATCACTAAGTCAAACAAAGAGTTCTGTGAAAAGTCTCACCAATATAATAGTTCAAGGGACAGCAGAATTATCACAACTTGAAGACAAAGAAGAATTAGGATAGCCCAACAAGGACAAAGATGAACAGAAAGCAAATGGGGCAGGCAGGATGGTCCAATGGGTAAAGGTTCCTCCTGATAACCAGAGTCCAATTCCTAGAATCCACACAGTAGAAGGAGAGAACTGACTCCTGAAAGTTATCATCCCAACTCTATATGTGTACAGTGGTACATACACACATATGTGTACACTCATACAATAAATGTTTAAAAATTAAGAGAAAAAAAACCACAGCCAGGCACAGTAATGCACACAGCACTCAGGAAGCAGAGTCAGGCAGATCTCTGTGAGTTCAAGGCCAGCCTAGTCTACAACCAAGTTCTAGGTCTGCTGAGGCTACAGGGAGACCATCTCAAAAAAAAAAAAAAAAAAAAAAGAAAGAAAAAGAAAATCTAATAAATGCTAAAATACGGATGAATCTTAAAATCACATGGCTAAGAGAACTAAGCCCAAACAAAAGGATATAACGTATGATTTCACTCATACAAGGTATATGGGATAGAATATTCATAGAGATGTAGGTAGTATAAAAATTAAAGGGACTGATAAGGAGAAAAGTAGAGAATTATTATTTTATAGGCAGTCTTCATTTGGGACGATGAAAAGTTCTAGATACAGAGGGCTGGGGCCAGTGGATAGGAGTGTTTGCTCTGCAAACATGAGGACTCAAGTTCCAATCTCTAGTACTCATATAAAAAAGCTGTGTCCTCAGCAGTGGGGGGGGTGGGGGGGGGGAGACAATGGACCCTAAGAGCTCAACGGTCAGAAAGCTTAGCTGGTACAGTGAGCTGTTTCAATAAAAGACCCTGTCTCAAGGAAATAAGGTGGACAGCAATAGAGGAAGACAGCCTCCTGGTCTCTGCATGCATGCAATTTCACATAGAAATTAAAACATTACTTTAAAACTTCAATAAAAGTTCTAGATGAATCATGAAAGCCTCTTCAAAGCATGTACAATGAAAAGAACAACACAGGTCAAAAATGTTAACTTCCATCCTTCCTTAGTCTAATAAGTGATAAAAAGTAAGCCAGACAAGTGGCGTGCCTGTAATCCTAGAACCCAGGATGAAAGGTAGGAGATCAGGAGTTCAAGGCTACCCTTGCGTACATTGAGAGCTCAAGGCCAGCTTGTACTACATAAAATTCTATCTCAAAATGCCCCCCTCCCCAAAGTGATGGAATATTTGTAATAATTTCTTCTCTATTAAAAATAACAACACAAATATTATTCAGAACACAAAGACAGTTCTTGGCAGGTTATATACTTAAGACATATTTTGTAATTAAATTAAACATTAATTACCTCCATGGAGAGACATGCAAGGGTAGGATGCTCTCATTAAGTCCTTCAGAAGACCATCAGCATGTTCCTGCTTATCCACAAATATAATGACAGATCCTGACTCTTGATAATGGCCTAAAAGCTCAAGCAATTTCAAGAACTTTTTTTCTTCTTCAATCACAATCTGAAAACACATTGTACCAAGTTAGTGTAGTAAAAAATGCAAATATGTCTTAGAACAAAAGTATTCAATAATTTAGGGGCTGGAGAGATGGCTCAGCGGTTAAGAACACTGGCTGTTCTTGCAGAAGACCCAGGTTTGAATTCCAGCACCCACATGGCAGCTAACAACTGTCCATAGCTCCAGTCCCAGAGGATCTGACAGCCTCTTCTGACCTCTGCGGGCACTGCATTTTTAAAGTTAAAAAAAAAAAGCATTCATTTAATTTGTAGTGAATGAATAAAAAAGTAACAACTTCTTACATTTAAAAGAAAGGCTGGCCAGGCATGGTGGCGCACGCCTTTAATCCCAGCACTTGGGAGGCAGAGGCAGGCAGATCTTTGTGAGTTGGAGGCCAGCCTGGTCTATATAGTGAATTCCAGGACAGCTGGAGCTACAGGGAGACCCTGTCTCAAAAAGACCGAAAAAAAAAAAAAGGCTAAGAAAAATGCTGATAGGCCCAAAATTTTTTCCAGTTTTGCAAACTTTCAGAGAATAAGGTTTGTAAATGTGGCAACTGCTCACTGGTTCCCTCTGGCCTTAACTTCATATCCTATTAACCAAAGGCTAAGTAAGGTAGAAGTGTATCATTTCTGTCAGCCCTCCAATTCTGGTGGGAAACAAGAAAGGAAGGGCTACGGAGATGGCTCAGCATACATACAGTCAAAATACTCACAGACAAAATAAAACAAGAGCTTTCTTAAACAGTCAGTTCCATGTAACAGCACAATTAAGTGTACTTGGCAATATACTGAAAGCTGTAACTGTTGCATGCTACTTAATTTTAGAATTTGTCAGAACTTCATCACTCTATCTCAGAATGATCTCCAAAGGATCTCACATACACTGCCTCAACACCAGGAAAACTGAAGATTTCCTGAACATAATAATACCTACCACTTGCTGTTCCACATCTGAGCAAACCACACTCCTGCCTCCAACCTGTACTTCAATGGGCTTGCTCAGGATCCTGCGAGCCAGAGCCTCCATAGCTCTGGGGAAAGTAGCTGAAAACATGACTGTCTGTCGATCAGGACGGACATTATCCACAATGCGCATGACCTGAGAAAATAATATAGATAAATACAGTAAATGTAACCTCCCCAAACCTATACAATGGTCAAGTTAAATAGAAGGAATTTTGAAAAAACTATTTCAGTTCCTTTAACTTGTTATCTTACAAAATCTGAACATGTTTTATACCTCAATTTGCTGTTTTTGATTTCACTATCTTAAGAAATGACAACCTGGGATGGGGAGATAGCAGTCAGTACAGTGCTTGCTGCATAAACCTGAAGACCTGGTAAAAAGCACCCAGGTAAAAAGCATGCACTTGCCGGGTGTGGTGGTGCACACCTTTAATCCCAGCTCTCGGGAGGCAGAGGCAGGTGGATCTCTGTGAGTTCAAGGCCAGCCTGGTCTGCATAGTGAGTTCCAGGAGAGCTGGGGCTACAGGGAGACCCCGTCTCAAAAAAACCACACAAAAAAAAAAAAGAAAAGAAAAAAGCATGCACTTGTAATCCCAAAGCTGGGGAGGAAAAGACAGGCAAACCCCAGGTTTACTGGCCAGCCTGCTTAACCTAATCAGCAAATCCCAGGTCCTAGAGAGTCCTTCTCTAAAAAAAACAAGGCAGACACCTTCTAAGCAACTAGAGTCAATGCTGTCCTCTAGTCTCCAAACTCATGTGCATACATGTACACTTGTACACACAGTCACACAAGGAAGGAAGGATGGGAGGGAGGGAAACCAGCATGCCTAAGCCCAAAGTCTAGATGCCATCTTTGACTAATCTCTCCTTAAAGATGAAGTTTCAATACCAATTAGTTAAGATCTTTGAATAAGTACCACGAACATTCCAGGCAAGCCTCGTGATTGTGTTGCTGAATGTAGTCCACAACTCGGAGCATGTCCTTTCTATTCATGTCCATAAATATGCTATTTATGAACACATCAACTTTATTATGTTGAAAACCTATTACTTTTGCCAGGTGTGGTGGCACACACCTTTAATCCCAGCACTTAGGAGGCAGAGGCCAGCAGATCTCCATGAGACTGAGGCCAGACTAGTCTACATAGATCCAGGCCAGCTGGGGATACAGGGAGACCCTGTCTCAAAAAAACCAAAACATAACAACAACAAAAAGACCCAAAACAAAAAATGAACCCCAAAAATAACCTACGGCTTTCTATCTTTTTTCACATAGTCTAAAATCGAAATCATGAGTCCAACTAGTCTTATGTTGCCAAATAAACAATTCTCTCACTTTTCATTGATTCAAACTCTAAGCAAGCCTGATTTTAAAGATGATACATCTGGGGCTGGAGAGATGGCTCAGCAGTTAAGAGCACTGACTGCTCTTGCAGAGGACTCGGGTTCGATTCCCAGCACCGACATGGTGGCTATGAACCGTCCTTAACTCCAGTTCCAGGGGAATCCAAAGCCCTTTTCTGACCTCTGCAGCATTGCACGACACGGGTGCACTCACATACGTGCATGCAATACACTCATACACATAAAATAAAAATAATAAATAAAATATTTTGAAAAGATGATACAACTTTTTTTTAATGAAGATGAATATTTTGTTTCTTACTGTGCTGCAAAGCTGTTGCTTCACTGTATAAAAAGAGTACTAGCCAATGCAGCCTAAAGTAAATTATTTTTCTTTAAATTTAAGATTATCAACTTAACTATTCATTAATGTAAACATTACTTTTAACTTTTTAACCACAGAAATGATCCCTGTGATGTTAAATGTGTGTGTTAAGGGATGGAGAGGTGGCTCATGGTTAAGAGCATGTACTTTGCTGGGCACGGTGGCACACCATGCCTTTAATCCCAACACTCAGGAGGCAGGGGCGGGCGGATCTCCTTGAGTTCAAGGCCAACCTGGTCTACATAGTAAGTTCCAAGCCAGCTGGGGCTACAAGGAGATCCTGTCTCAAAAAGACCCCCCCTAAAAAAAAGAAAAAGGAGTATGTATTGCTCTCACAGATGACTTGAGTTTGGATCTCATCACCCACATTCAGTGGTTCATAACCACCTGTAACTCTAGTTCCATGAGGATACAAAACCTCTGGCCTCCAAGAATACCCATACTCACATTATGTACTCATTTTTGTCAACTTGAGAGACCTGAAATAGAGGAACTTCAATCAAGGAATTTCCTCCAGTGGGCATGCCTGTGGGGCATTTTCTTGATTGTTAATTAATGGGGGGAGGGGGCGATGTGGTGGTGCTATCCCTGGGCAGGTAGGCCTGGGCTATATAAGAAGAGTAGTTGAGCAAGCCAAGGAGAAGCAAATCAGTAAGTAACAATCCTCCATGGTTTCTGCCTCAAGCTCCTGCTTAAGTTCCTGCCATGACTTCCCTTTAATGATGTACTGTGATGTGTAAGCCCTTTCCTCCCCAAGTGGGTTTTGATCAGATTTTTATCACAGCAACAGAAAGCAAACTAGGGCACAAGCACATTCCAAAAGGCAGATACACACACATACACATAACTGAAAGTAGCAAAAATAAATCTTAACAAAAATATGGGGGCTGGAGAAGACCCGGGTTCAGTTTCCAACACCAACATGGCAGCTAACAACCACTAGTAGCTCCAGTTCCAAGGGATCCAATGCCCTCTTCCAATCTCTATGGGTACTGTACGACACAGGTGCAATACACTCATACACATAAAAATAATAAATTTTTAAAACTCTGATCATTTAAAAAAAAAAAAAAAAAAAAACCAACTTTGAGATGTAACTCAGAAGGCTGCTTGTTTAGTGTGCACAAAGCCCTGGGGTTGATCCCCAGCCCTGCATCAATTTGGCATAGTGACAAATGCCTGGAATCCCAGTACTTGGGAGGTGAAGGCAAAAGGACAAAAAGTTCAAGGTCATCCTCAGTTTATTATAGAGTTCAAGACCAGAGTGGGCTACATCAAACCTTGTCTCAAATAAACAAAACACCTACCTGTACTGCATCACACTTTGAGACAGAACTAAAACTTGAGGAGAGAGGATGGAACATAACTCAGTGGCAGAACACTTGTCTAGTATGAGTGAATCCCTGGATTGTGTCCTGAGCCTCCAAAAGAAGTATAACAAAAACACTTGTGCTAGGGCAAGGAACTGTGGAGGGGGTGTCACTCAGTAACAGAGCACAGACTGGACATACTGGCTGTTTTCATGTATCGATGTGTATATGCCCATATACATACACACACAGAGACACACACATACAATAAATCAACAAATCAATCAATCAATCAATAACATTTAAAAAATTTTAAAAAGTAGCAGGGCTAGAGAGATGGCTTAGCAGTTAAGAGCACTGGCTGGTCTTGCAGGGGCCCAGGATCAGGTCCCAATATCCACATGGTAGCTAACAACCATCTGTAACTCCAGTTCCAGGGAATCCTCCTCTCAGGCATTACACTCATGTGGTGCACTTACATCCACACAAGTAAAACATTTATACACATAAATACATATATAAATACAGAATGAATTTAGAATCTCATTTCTTTTTTTGTCAGTCCCACCATATATTTACGTGTGTGTGTGTGTGTGTGTGTGTGTGTGTATGAGTGTTTATACAGAAACACATGTCCCTTAAGGAGGGCAAAGCTTTGCAATCTGTCTCATTTCCTTATGCTCACCTTTTTTTTCAGTCTTTTTGAGACAGGGTCTCCCTGTAGCCCCAGCTGGCCTGGAATTTACTATGTAGGCCCAGCTGTCCTCGATCTCACAGAGATTTACCTGCCTGTACCTCCTGAGTGCTGGAATTAAAGGTGTTCACCACCATGCCCAGCTCTGCTCACTTTTAAATCTGTTTTTCTTTCTGTATCTCATATTTTATCATTTCCGTTGTCCTATCATCTTCAAGTTTACTGGCTCATTCTTCCACATATTCAAATCTCTTATAACATTTAGAACTATATGAATAAGTCTAAAATTTTTTCTTCAGTAAATAAAAAAGAAATCAGTCAGTTTGAAGATAGAGATAAACTAAGCAATCAAGTCATTTCTATGAGCCTGGTATTTTAAATATCTCATGATTTTATCTTCCATAATAAATACTCATTCTGTGTGTATTCTGTTTGAATGTGTAAATACATCTGTGTACTTGTACATGTGGAAGTTAGAGGGTAAGCCCAGGTGTCATTCCTCAGGAACTATCTACCTTTTTCCTTTTCTTGACATAGGGTCTCTCACTAGCCTGGAACTTGGCAAGGAGGCTAGGCTGGCCGTCATCTCTCTCCACCTCCCAGTGCCAGGATTACAAGTGCAGCAGCAGGCCTGGCTTTGTATACAGCATGTTCTGAGAATCAAGCTCAGGTTCTTGCAGGCACTTTACTGAACACACTGTCTCCTTAGCCCTAAAACCTCATTGTTTATCTTTTAATCTTTGCTAAGTTTAAGGCAATTTATTTGCCTATGTATATGGAAAAAGCAGAGTCCTACACCTAATGCCTATGTCACTGTACAGCTCAGCTTAGCACCCATGGTTTAATTCTTAATTTTCATTATGTTCTTGAATACAGACTCCTGCCTAGAAGCATCCTCCTGCCTGCCTATTCTCCAAAAAGAGGTCAGGTGAAGATTCTCTTCAGTAGTACTAGCTTTAACTTATATGATGGTGACTTTTCTTGCTATATATCCAAATAGTATCCTACAGCACTGAAGCTCTATCCTGAGTTTTCTAACCTATAAAGCTCACAAAATAATCATTAACCATTAATTTTCCTCTCTCCACAGGTTTTAATGATTTCAAAAAAACTCCAAACATTGTATTTCTCCAATTTACAGATGCTTATATAAACATACACAAAGAAAGTATCTGAGGGAGGAATGAGGAACAGTTGTTTACTTTGTTGAAAACTCTTCATTTTGTTTTTTTTATTCTTGTATTTTTGAGACACGGTTTCCCTATAGCCCCAACTGGTCTGGAACTCACTATACAGACCAGTCTGGCTTCGATCTCAGAGGTCTGTCTGCCTCTGCCTCCCTAGCACTAGGATTAAAGGCATGTGCAACCACGTCCAATTGTTGAAACCTTTTTACATGTGCTGACATGCATGCAAGTACTCACAAACATGTAGGAAATTATGGCAAGAAATGATTCAGTTTGCCTATCAAAGTTAAGAGTTTTTTTAACATTTATTTTATTTTTTGCTATGTGTATGTTTGCGTGTGAGTGAAAATGTATGCTATGTGTGGATACCCTTGAAGGCCAGAAGAGGGTGTTGGATGCCCTGGAGCTGAAGTTATAGGTGGCAATGTATGGATGCCAGGAACCGAGCTTGGGTCCTCTGGAAGAGTAGTAAATGCTCTTAACTGCTGAGCCATCTCTCCAGTCCAGAAAATGTTTTGAACTCATAATGTATCAGAAAGGTTTGACTACCAGATCTGCATAATCATAATATCAAAAATCTCCCATTATTTAGAAAGACATTAAAGGGCCCACAATTCCACCAAACATCTGATGCTTCAGTCCCCTCTAGTCTCTTTTCATAGATAGACCTCTTGCCCCTGCTTGAACATGTACATGAAAACCCTATTCAAGGGGTGGCAACATGGCAGAGGGCACTGGCTACCAAGCCAGAGTGCCCAAGTTTGATCTCTGAGCTCCACATGCTGAGGGAAGGAACCGACTCCTGAAGTTGCCCTCTGACCTCCACTACAATGCTGCAGAATGAACCCGCACAATATAAACATATAATAATAATATGCTATCCAATTGTGCCTCTCATTCTCAAAGCAACCACTTCTATCTTGAAACAATACTTGTTCAGTCCTTCCTCATTAAATTCAGGTCAAGTTCCCTCTGGCTTCCTACTGAGTTCCAGTCACAATCCTTGGGGCCAAAGGAATGTGATAAATGTGTGAAGAGCTGAAGCATAGCAGTCAGTCCTTAGTTTTCATACATAAGTAACACACACTATCTAGATTATGTGAGAAGTTAGAATCATGAATTAAAATAATGTATTGGAAAGATAATGAAAAGTATAAAATACAAGCATTTTTAATACTCTATTATTAGTACTCTAATTCTAACTTGACCAATGATAGTTTTAGATTGCTAAGGAAAACCTATACAATTCAAAATATAAATATATATTTAAATTCCATGTGTCACTAACACACAGTATTACCAAACAACAGAAAATAAGTATGAATTTCAGAAACCACAAACATTTCTTTCTCATGGCACTTACAAAATCCTAGGGACTGGAGGGATAGCTCACTGGTTAAGAGGACCCAAGTCCGGTTTTCAGCACACATATTGGCCAACTCACACCCACATTAGGCAGCTCACAACCACATGTAACTCCAGCTCATGATTTATCCTCTGGCTTCTGCACGCGCCTGCACTCACATGCACAAATCCCCACACAGACGCACATAATTGAAAATAAAACAAACATTTAAAATTTATAAAACAAAAAAGAAATTTAATGATTACCTGTGGTTCGAAACCCATGTCAAACATTCTATCTGCTTCATCTAAAACAACATATGTCACTCTTCGAAGATTTGTGACCCGACCTAAGATGAGAAGAAAAATAAAGAGGAAAAAAAAAACAAACCCTAAAAATCAGTCACAATTCATATTATGACTATCAAAAACTTTTAAAAACTGTAAAGGGAACTAAAATGCCTGACTTAATCAGAGGGGTAGGTTAGGTATCTTTAAACAGTGAAAAGAAATTTTGGTCTACAAGTCTTAATCTAGTGGCAAATACTTTCTGACATGGGTATATGAGGCCCTTTTACTTTGTCAAACTCGTCTCTTGCATACCATCATAGGGCCTGAAGAACCTGTAAAATTCAGAAAACAGCCCTCTCCAAAACACATCATAAAACTAAGACTGAGATGAAGCATCGAGCCACATCAGCCATTATCTGACAGCATCACCTAGAAAAAAACATATTAGAGATTACAGCGTATGTGTGGAAAGCAAGCTCCAGCGCTAACTACTTCAGAGGCAGAATACTTCTCTATCTTACTTCATAATCTACTTTCATCTAGTTAGAAGCTCCTTAAATGGGCATGTTAAACCATTAATGCAAAACAACTCAAATTGATATATTACACAAACCAAATAATAAATGCATCACATATAAATGTACTTCTCTATGCAAAGATACACATCAAATTATTAATTGCTGCTACTAGTTTAAATAAGTATTTCTGGCTTCTTAACCAGTAGAAACTAAATATACAAGAAATCCTTCCTAAAGATTAACATAAGCATTGCTATTAACTGTAGAATCAATCACCTGGCAAAAATATATAGTTATTAAAGGATAAACCAAAAAGACAGATAAAGGAAAAAGATAAAATTAATCAAGATGAATTTCAGGAGATTTAATCAATGCAGCATTGAAAAAAAAACAAGGGATTATTTAATCAGCATTCATTCCAAACTTGTCATATGCTACACAAGCACAATGACTTGTTGAACAACTTCAATGTCACTTTGCCAAACTCATGTAGAATTAGAATTAAGCTTATAGAGAAATTCAAGCAGAATGCTATTAGAAACATGCATTACTGTTTTCAATACCCAATTATGTATAGACTGAATAGTGCAATGGGAACCTTTTTGAAAGCATTTTCTTCATAAAGTAGACATGAGCCAAAATAAGTGCTTCTTAATATCTAATATTCACACTAACATTTTCAGCCTCCATTAGTGTTTGCAAGGTTGGGAACAGCATTAAATTACCTACCTTTGATGATTAAAGTCTCGGAAGCCCAGTTCTATAAATCTTGAAGGGCCTTTCTCCACAGAAGTTAAATAATGTCAACAGTTTAGTATCAGTTTTGATAGGGAATATTTTAACAAAGCATAAAATTTGAGCTAATAACATGCAATATTTACAAAAGACAAAATTTCTTGAAGCTGCAATATCTTAATCTGTCTAGTATTATAAAATACTGGTTTCTGTGGAGAATTTTGTAACAGAGTAGAATGCCACCCTTTTATTTTTATTTATTTTTTGGTCTTTTTGAGACGTGGTCTCCCTGTAGCACCAGCTGGCCTGGAACTCACTATGTAGACCAGGCTGGACTTGAACTCACAGAGATCTGCCTGCCTCTGCCTCCCAAGTGCTGGGATTAAAGGCATGTGCCACCACGCCCGGCTGAATGCCACCCTTTTAAAAGCAAGGAAGGCCACAAAAAAAAAAAAAAAAAGGGATTAAGAATCCAAGTGAAATGTTAAAAAGGTCATATAGAGATAGTTTTTGGAAAAAAAATTTAATTGCTAAAAATTATTCATGCTTTCAACAATAACTTGTTACAATACACATTTTAAGATACTATAGCTTCAAGAAGAAACACAGAAACCTTTGTTGGTTTCTCATGTCTGCTTTAACAAAAATATATAAAATTCAAAGACGAAAGAAAACAAAAAAATACCCCCAACTTACCACTGTTAGCTGCTAACATGTCAATCATTCGACCAGGTGTGCAAACAATAATTTCAGCACCTCTTTTCAGTTCAGCAATCTGATAAAACAGGATGAAATTTTATAGTCTATGCATCACTAATGCTTAAAAATATGTAAAAACAGCACATCTGGCTCCTGTATGGCTCCACAGGTAAGAAGGTGTGAGAAGACTCCCAGATTACCCCTGGATTCACTGGGCTGTTGGAGTCACTAATGGAATAGGGAACAGCAGCATGGCAGCACCGACACAAATGTGAAACCAATGAAACTAACCAATTTCACCAATTGTAATTTACAACTTTGCATAAAACCAAGATAGGAAGTTAAGAATAAGCAATAAAACATGCTAATACAGAGAGGTCAATGTTTTTCAAATTTAGGGTTGGCATTAGTAAATCATGGCATCAATTTTCTAAGTCACAGCCATCAATTTTAAAATGAAATAGAAATGTAAGGGGTTGTACATAGGATAAACATTTGCTTGACCTTTACATAAATACATACATACATGCCAGGTTATACTGTATGTACCAGGGTAGTCTCTTTTTCTTTTTTTATTACATTTTTTTTTTTTTGAAACAAGGTGTCATATAGCCCAGGATAACCTCAAACTCACTACACAACCAAGGATGGTCTTAAACGGTGGATGCTCCTAACTCCACCACCTGATTGCTGAGATCACTGGTGTTCATTTACCACACTTGGTTTATACAAAGATAAGGACTGAAACCAAAGCTTTATGTACACTAGGCAAGTACTATATCAACTGAACGGCACCCAAGTCCCTATACCAGGTTATTCTATAAATGTAATTTTGTTTCTTTGCTTGCTTGATTTATTTATTTTTTGGGTCTTTTTGTGTCTTTTATTTATTTTTTTATTTATTTTTTGTGTCTACCTGTAGCCCCAGCTGGCCTGGAACTCACTATGCAGACCAGGCTGGCCTCGAACTCAGAGATCTACCTCTCTCTGCCCAACAAGCACCGGAATTAAAGGTATGCACCACCACGCCTGGCTCATGCTTGTTTTATTTTAAAAATTGCTTATTTATGTCAGTTGTAGTTTGTCTCTTATCAATATACATATTTTAATTTCTGGCTTCAAAGTCATGGTCTCTGGAATCCTGGCCTAAAAGTCACTTCCTATAGTTATGGTCCCCAGAAACAGGTAATTCCTCTGTGGCAAAGTATTCCAGATGGGGGCTGGAGAGATGGCTCAGCAGTTAAGAGCACTAACTGCTCTTCCAGAGGACCTGGGTTCGATTCCCAGCACCCACATGGAGGCTACAAACCATCCTTAACTCCAGTTCCAGGGGAATCCGAAGCACTCTTCTGACCTCCACGGAGGCATTGCACTACACGGGTGCACTCACATACGTGCAAGCAATACACTCATACACATAAAATAAAAATAATAAATAATATATTAAAAAAAATATTCCAGATGGCATACTACTTTCTTCATATAGTTTAAGTCTTTAAGAAAGTAACTATCAGGCTGGAAAGATGGCTCAGAGGTTAAGAACACTGGCTGTTCCTGCAAAAGTCCTGGGTTCAAATCCCAGTACCCACATAGCATCTAACAGCTGTCCATAACTCACTCCAGTTCCAGGGGATCTGACAGCCTCTTTTGTCCTCCACAGGCGTTGCACGTCACGGGTGCACTTACTGCATGCAGGCAATACACTCATATACATAAAATAAAAATAATACATAAAAAGAATACCGAAGACCTCGACCAGGTGTGGTGGCACATGCTGGCTTCAAATTTGCAGTGATATTCCTGCCTCTACCTCCCAAGTTCCAGGATTACAGGTGTATGCCAATTGGCTATTCTGTATTTCCCCTCTGCCCCCCCCCTTTTGAGACAGGGTCTCCCTATACTATCAGCCAGTCTGAACTATGTAGACCAGGCTGGCCTCTATCTCATAGAGAGCCACCTGCCTCTGCCTACAAATATTGGGTTTAAAGGTGTGGGCCACCATGCCCAGCTCATCACTTCCCTTTTTAAAAACAGTCATTCTATGCAGTTCTAAGGCCTTCAGCTGGTGATCCTTCTGCCTCAGTGCTCTTAATATTGGGACTATAGGTACATACCACTGCACATGAACACAATTTATTCTTACAATTATTTTCACATGTAATACCCTTTAAGATTTTAGAAGTCACATTTAAAACACTAAAACAAAATAAATCACATTTACTTATTGAATCATTCAATTTGAGAAAAGACAGAAAAAATTTTAACTACCTGCTCACTGATTCCTGTTCCTCCATAAACACAGACCACTCTAAGTCCCAAGGTCTTCGAAAACTTCTTACATTCTTTAGTAATTTGTAAAGCCAGTTCTCGAGTTGGAGTCATGATGACAGCTGAAAAGATAAGTATGTCAAAAGCCTAACCACCAAAAATCCTTGAGACGAAGCTTTGAAATGTTCAATTTAGCCTCTGCAGTAAAGATTGAAGCTCACAGTCAAATTTGCTGGTTTTTAAATGTGAGTCTAAACACTCTGTTTCAGAAGCTTTATGATGGCAGAGATTGTGGTGAAGAACAAATTGGACTTTTAAAACATGCTACAGGAAATAAATGAAGAGTTAAATGCCATAGCCAACCCTCAGAAAAAGACTTGGTTGAACAGACTGCATATAGTTCTCAACTGCAAATCACAGACCAAAAGAGAATCGAGTAACTCACTGTGTTCCAGAAGCCAGACTGCTGCTTCCGGAACCACCTTGTTCTGAGGGGCACAGACAGAGAAGAAATGCACTGTGCATTTCTGTTTACACAGAAAGAGCTGAATAACTTCCAAAGCCCTACTAAAAGGTGCAGATAATAACTCTGCAAAAATGAACCAAGAAATCCAAATTTGAAAACCTAATCCTAAATAAAACAAAGGCACTATGGCCTTCTGAGGCCCCCCAAAAAACCCTAAGGAAAGACACTTCCCTACTAGTTTTCATGCTGAGTTTAAAATCTACTGATATTAGACTATGAGCAAACCTCAACACAAATCAACAGATAGATGCATGAGGAGTCTACCTGCTAAGTCAGAGTTTAAAACCTGAGCTGAGCCAGGACAGGCTGTTTTTGTACTTCTGAGATGTCACTCCAGAGCTCTGAAGATTCTCACTCCACCTGCTGGTAAGGGGAAATCAGCCCCAAAGTGCCAAATCGATAAAGAAAATGCATATAAACACACCTTTATTTTCAAAATCAGTAACTTCATAAAGAATCAGGTCTTTCTGATTAACTGACAGTAAAGACATGTTCAAAAAAATCAATAATGCGAAGAATTGTACCTATTGGCCCCTCTCCTTCTTCTAATGACCTCTGATCCATGATGTGTCTAAACATGGGCAAGAGAAAAGCAATGGTTTTTCCACTTCCTGTCTTGGCAATACCAATCAAATCTCTTCCAGACATTATAGCAGGAATGGCTTGGGTTTGGATGGGTGTGGGCTTTTCATAGCCATGCCTTAAAGAAAACCAAAGGAACACAAGGTCAGAATCATGATCTTTAGACCTCCTCAGAGGCCCACAAATATTAGCTCTTCTAAGTGTGGTATACATACATAGTAAAACAGTATTTGGTGCAGAGCAGATAAAGCCAAGTGTTAGGACAGCGAGATGGCTCTGTGAATAAAGGTGCTTGTGCACCCTAAGGTCAGACACCCTAAATTCAATCCCTGAATCCCACAATATGGCAGGAAAGAATGGACTCCACACACACAAAATAAATAATAAATAGATGAATAGAGTAAATAAGAATTTTTAAAGGAAAAAATTATTTGGCAATAAAAAGAATGAAGCACTAAGATTGTATAACATGGATGGACCTTGAAGACACTGATGAGAGATAAAACTACACATTGTATGATTCCACTTGTATGAAATATCTACTGGGGCTATACCTACAGAGACAGAAAGTAGATTAATGTTGCCTGGGGTAGTGGAGATGGGAGAGGGCTGCAAAAGAATGAAGGCCTCTTTGGGGGATGATGAAAATGTTCTAAAATTAGATAGCTGTACAATTCCATTAACACAGCACCAAATAGTATACTATAAATGGGAAACTTTGTATTTACATTGTATCTCATTAAAGCCATTTATGGAATTTTTTTTTTTTTTTTGGTTTTTTTGAGACAGGGTCTCCCTGTAGCTCCAGCTGTCCTGGAACTCACTATGTAGACCAAGCTGGCCTTGAACTCACAGAGATCCGCCTGCCTCTGCCTCCCGAGTGCTGGGATTAAAGGTGTGTGCCACCACGCCTGGCCATTAATGAAATTTTAAAGTGGACTGTGCTTAAGGATATATATAACTCAGTGGTGGAATACTTATTTCCCTGGCATGCCCAACTCCTATGATGGCTCCCCAGAACTGAAGGAAAACCTTTTCTACTTGTAGTAGACAACATTATAGCATATAATCAAAACCCAGAGAGATACTTGTGTGAAAGGGCTATCTGAGTAGGTCACTGAAAAATGTGGGTAACCACCAACCACTTACTTTTTGAGGGAATTTAAGATCTTCATGGAAATCCCACACTGGACCCATGATTTAATTGGTTTGGGACAACCTTTTCCTTTAACCGTAATGCCCTCCATTTCCAATCGAAATACATTCACTTCTACAAAACAAAAACCATATTAAAACCTCTTAAACACTGTTCTACTGGTGCTTCTACCTTTCAATGAGCATGGTAAGACAAAGAATCTTCAACTCTCTTCTAAAAAACTATCAAATATATTTCATAGAAAAACTACAGGAAAAACACTATCTCAGAGAAACAGGTGCAGCAATTACTGCTACAATAAGTTAAGGTCAAAGGGAAATACTCTTAGTTTCAACACTCTGGTTTTCACTTTTTCTTAATCTATAACAACAGAAATGAATGGTTGACAAGTATTACAACCACCTGTTCTCACAGCACAAGGTGCTTAGATTTTCTTTATTTACCCAACAACAGATTGGCAGCTCCTACCTCTCACATACCAGAAGACCTAACAGAAACATTTCATTTGCAATGACATGTAGAGTATTTTCAACCCTAAGAACACCACCTACCTGTACTAAATTCATTTTGCTCTTTTTAAACATACTTCAGAAAACATCTTCCAACTCACAGGCCTATCCACATTCACTCTGGGCAAAGTGAAACACAGCGTCTGATGCCACCACAAAAAAAAAAAAAAAAAAAAATTTACCTTCTTGAGACATTTTTGCTAGTTCTGGAACTTCAACATAAAAATTTTTTCTGAATGGTTCATACTCAATTTTTCCATGATCAACTGGTTCTAGAAGCTTTCTCTGTTTTGTCTGGTATCCTGTAAGAGCAGTCTGAAGATCAACTTCCTCCTCCTCTGAAGAATACTTAAATGACAAAAAAAGTGTATTATTAATTTCCCCACATAGGAAGCAGCAGTCCTAGTTTTCGAAACTCTCCTCTCCTAGAAACTACTCTTTATCTCTTTTTCATGCTTCCTAAAATAGACTAATTGTTCCACGAGACTTTCATAAGACTCCAGGAAATTTAAAAGCTCCTAACTTGAAAATCTCCTCAAATAATGTCTATGTTTTTGACTATAAATAAATCAGTTCCTTAAGAATTTTTAACTTAGTTTCTTTTTTAAAAAAATCTTTATACAGTTTTAATACCAATACAAAGCTAATATAACTCTCAGATGTCATTAAGTTTTGTTATTGTTCTCACTACATAAATATTTTTAAATTAACAGGAAGAATTTTCATTGATTCTACTCCTTTATTTCTCTGTAGCTCCAGCTGGCCTGGAACTTGCTGTGTAGACAAGGCTGGTCTCACTCTCAAGAGATCCATTGTCTCTGCCTCCCAAGTCTGAGCTCAAAGGCCTGTGCCCCCACCCCCTGCTGTATTGTTTATTGTGTACTTGAGATGAGCTAAGAAAGGGAAGGAAATGAAAAAACTAGGCGTAATCAAAGGCTGTAAGATGCTAGAACACTCTGCCACCTAGTGAGAGCTATACTACTACTGCAGTACTGGGAGCAGAAGGAATTCACCCTCAGAGCAGCTTGGATGACCACCAATGCTTTGTCATAAATACTTCTAGGAGTACCAGAAACAAAGTCAAAGGTATTGAAGAATCACCTCCATGGCATCCTGGTCATTCTCCATCAGCTCACCTTTCTTCTTATCAGAGTCTATAACAGCCTTTTTAGTTGTTACAACAGTAACGACTTTTGTGACTGTGGGCCCAGACTTCTAAAACGAAAAAGGGTTATAAAATATTTTGCAGAAGTGAAACAAAAATTACATATGTCAAATATAACACAATGTTAAATGTCACAGTTAATCATTCAAGCTAACAATAATTTAGTTTTTTGTGTTTTTCTTTTTTTGTCTTTTGAGACAGGGTCTCCCTGTAGCCCCAGCTGGCCTGGAACTCACTATGTAGACCAGGATGGCCTCGAACTCACAGAGATCCACCTGTCTCTGCCTCCCGAGTGCTGGGATTAAGGGCATGCAACACCATGCCCAGCAATAATTTAGTTTTTAAAAAGACCAGTAGCAATATGCTTTTTGCATAGTGTTAATTTTTAATGTTAACTATACTGTATTTTGTAAGTACATTCACAGTTGCAGAATTTATTGCATAATGTATAATTTTACATAACATTTAAAATTGTTATGAGTATTAGCGTTTTCTTTCCATGTTAAGTGTACCATGTGTGTACATGAAGGCCAGAAAAGGGTGCTAAATTCCCTGGAACTGGAGTTATGGAAGGTTGTTAGCTACCATGTGGGTGCTGGGAACTGAATGTGGGTACTCTGTAAGAGGTGTCAGTGCTCTTAACCACTGAGCCATCTTTCCAGCCCCTAACAGTTTAATTTTTAAGAAGACCAGCAGCATTTTCCTTTTCCTGAGGTGACTTCACTACTCTCTTGACCCAGAAAACCCTACAAAATCATGCAAGTCAAGAGGTTCCAATCTTCGTGTTCACTTTAAGAACACAGGTGAAACTGCCCAGGCCAGCAAGGGTATGTACATCCAAAGAGCCACCAAGTAACTGAAAGATGTCACTTTAAAGAAGTAGTGTGTGCCATTCCAGTGGTATAACAGTGGAGCTGGTAGGTGTGCCCAGGCCAAACAGTAGGGCTGGATACAAGGTTGGTGGCCCGAAAAGAGTGAATTTTTGCTACTCATGCTTAAAATTGCAGAGAGTAATGCTGAACTTAAGGGTTTAAATGTAGACTCTGGTCACTGAGTATATCCAAGTGAACGAACCACCCAAGATGTACCACAGAACTTACAGAGCTCATGGTCAGATTAACCCATACATAAGCTCCCCCTGCCACATTGAAATGATCCTCATTGAAAAGGAACAAATTGTTCCTAAGCCTGAAGAGGACGCTGCACAAAAGAAAAAGATATTCCAGAAGAAACTCAAGAAACAAAAACTTCTGGCACAGGAATACACTGAGCATAAAATAAATGCAGATAAAAGTAAAAAAAGTAAAAAAAAAAAAAAAAATACCAGCAGCAAATCAACAGTAAGACAACACAATGATAAATTCAAGTTCTCCTAGTAGCTCAGAAATCTTTAGAGAAAAATCCCATACCTTTTCATTTCCTGCGCCTCCTTTTACACTTCTCATGTTAAACTTTTTTACTTCTTCTTTCACTTCTTCCATGTAAGCATCTAATGGATCTAATTCCTCACCCTCCATTTCATTTCCTTCCTTTTCAGCTTCTGCAGGATCATCTTCATCATCTAAAATATCAGAATATATTTTGTGTTTTATTTTTATTTTTTTTTTATTTTATGTATTATTTATTATTTTTATGTGTATGCATGTATTGCCTGCATGTAGGTAAGTGCACCCGTGTCGTGCAATGTCTGCAGAGGACGGAAGAGGCTGTCACATCCCCTGGAACTGGAGTTATAGACAGTTGTTAGCTGCCATGTGGGTGCTGGGATTAGAACCTGGGTCTTTTGCAAGAACAGCCAGTGCTCTTAACCGCTGAGCCATCTCTCCAGCCCCCTATATTTTGTGTTTTAAAAGAAAATACATGGGCCAGTATGATAGCTCAGTGGGTAAAAGTGCTTGCTGCATAATTGTGACAACCAAAAGTGATCCCCTAGTCCCACAGTGGAAAGAGGGAACTAACTCCTGAGAGTTGTCCGCTTACCTCAATTATTTGTGACACACACAAATAAATTTAACCCAAAAAATTTTTTTTGTAAGAAAATATACCACATTTCCTTCTATAATTTTGATGACTTTTCTCCCACTGTCCAAACATTCCTTTCCCAGGCTAGTTCAAGTGCTCATACTTGGAAGTTTCTACCTTTTTTGGTTTGTTTATTTGGGTTCTTTTGAGATAGGGTCTCAGCTGGCCAGGAACTCACTATATAGCCCAGGCTAGCCTTGAACTCACAGCAATCCACCTGCCTCTGCCTCCTGAGTGCTGGGATTAAAGGTGTGAACCACAAGGCTGGCAGTTTTTACATTTTCAAACCATGCACGTATTACTGCTGAACAACAGTGAGCAAAAAAAGAAGACAGACACTATAAACTACAGTTCTAGAGTTTATGGCTATATTGCTAAGATAACTAAACACTTTCTTTGCTAAATGACATTTGTATGTATGTACACGTGCACATACGTGTGCAGGTATGTGGCAACCAGAGGTCAACCTAGGCTATCATTCCTTAGGTGCCATTTACCTTGTTCACCTTGTTTTTATTTATTATTTTGTTATTGTTCTTTGTTTTGTTTTGTTGGCAAGGTCTCCCTAGTCCCACCCTACCTAGAATTCACTATGAAGACCAGGCTGGCCTTGATCTCACAGACACAGAGATCCACCTGGCTCTGCCTCCCAAAGGCTGGGATTAAAGGTTTGTGTCGGGGGCTGGAGAGATTGCTCAGCAGTTAAGAACACTGGTTGTTCTTGAAGAAGACCCAGGTTAGAATCCCAGCACGCACATGGCAGCTAACAACTGTCCGTAACTCCAGCCCAGGGGATCTGACAGCCTCTTCTGACCTCCACAGGCACTGCACGACATGGGTGCACTTACCTACATGCAGGCGATACAAGCATACACATAAAATAAAAATAATTAAAAAAATAAAATAAAAATAAAGGTTTGTGTCCCATCCAGCTTATTTTATTATTTTATTGTATTTTAGGTTGTTTTTTGAGACAAGGTCTCACTAGGTGGCCCTGACTGCCCTGGAACTCACTCAAGTAGACCAGGCTGGCATTGAACTCACAAAGATCTATACTGCTTGCCTCTGCCTAGAATTAAAGGTGTGTGCCACCATGTCCAGCAGTCATCTTTTTTATTTTTTAAGGTGTATGAGTGTATTGCCTGCATGTATAGTAAGCGCACCCATGTCATGCGATGCCCACAGGTCAGACAATGGCATCAGATCCCCTGGAATTGGAGTTACCGATGGTTGTTAGCTGTCATGTGGGCGCTGGGAACCAAAACCAGGTCCTCTGTAAGAGAGGAACCAGTGCTCTTACCTGCTGAACTATCTCTCCAGCCCCAGTTGCCTTGTTTTTTGGAGACAAGGTCTGCTACTTGGTCTGGAGTTCACCAATTAGGCTAGGCTGATTGGCCAGTGAACCCAAAGGATATGCCTCTCTCCCCATCCCTAGTGCTAGGATTACAAGGGTGCAGCACCATGCTTGGCTTTTTTACATGGATTCTGTGGTCAAACTCAGATCCTATGTTTGTACAACAAGTAACAATTATTATTTTTCTTGCAAGTACCTTTCAGTTACAGAAAGAAAAAAAAAAGGGCACATGTCACTCTTTTTTTTGCCTTTTTTTCTTTTTCTGAGACAGGGTCCCCTGTAATACCAGTTGTGTTTTGTTTTGTTTTGTTTTGTTTTTCCCTGAGACAGCATCTTCCTGTAGCCCCAGATGGCCTGGAACTTGCAGTGTAGACCAAGTTGGACTTGATTCTAGATATTCACTTGCCTCTTCCCTGAGTGCTGGGATTAAACATTACCATGCCCAACACATAGCACAAGAAGAGAGAGAGAGAGAGAGAGAGAGAGAAGGAGAGAGAGGGAGGGGGTGTATGGGGGGGGGGGGGAGAGAGAGAGAGATTTATGTTTGGAACTGTCACAGAATAATGACCAAAATTCTGTTTTCCTGTAAGATTTCACAATCTTCCACTTTACTAAAAACTCAAAATCAAAATCAGAAATGGAAAAGCTTTCCTAGCATATGCTAAACCCTGGATTCAAGCCCCAGAACCACAAAGACAATAAAAAAGATATTTTTTCGGGGCTGGAGAGATGGCTCAGCAGTTAAGAATACTGGTTGCTCTTGCTAAAGACCCAGGTTCAAATCCCAGCACCCACATGGTAGCTAACAACTGTCCCTAACTCCAGTCCCTGGGGATCCAACAGCCTCTTCTGACCTCCTCAGGCATTGTACGACATGGGTGCACTTACCTACATGCAGGCAATACATGCATACACATAAAATAAAATAAAGCTTTTTAAAAAAAAAGACATTTTCCCCCTTAAAAAAAAAAAATCTCCCCCTATAAAAACTTAGAAGTGATATTTTAAAAGCACACCCTTAACTTAGTCTCATTATTAACATTTATACTGGTAGCAAAAATATTAAGAGATGTCTACAAACTCCACAAGCACTTAACCATGCACTCCAAAGTAAAAGCAGTGATTCTTACTACTACTTTACAATTGAAATGTTAGCATCCACTAAAAAAGGTATTCAAAAATCTCCAGTTGTAAAGGCATGGTAGCTTGCACCTACAGTCCCAGCTACTTGGGAAGCTGAGAGAAGGTTCAATTGAGCCCAGTAGTTCCAGGACAGCCTAGAAAACAGTGAGAGCCCCATATCCAAAATCACAAGAACCTTAATACAAATCCAGCAAATCTACTTCTAGAACACAGGTATACTCAGAAAAAATTGAAAACACAAACTCAAATATTTATATGCATACCAATGTTCAAAGAAGCATTATCCACAATAATCCAAAGGTGGAAACAACCCAAATGTTCAACAACATAAGGGTAGATAAATAAAACATGGCATAAAATGGGCACGGTGGCACAAGCCTGTAATTCCAGCATTTGGGAGGCTGAAGTAGGAGGACGACAGGTTTGAGTCCTAACTGGCTTATAAAGCAGGACCCTGTTTCAAACATGAAAAATAAAAACATATAGCCAGGCAAGGAGGCAGGTGGATCTCTGATTTCTAGGTCAGTCAGAGCTACACCGTAAAACACTATATCAAAAACAAAAAGCATCATATTCATATACTGATTATTCAGCCATGGAAAGAAAAGTGGAATGTGCTAAAGTATGAATAAACCTTGAAGACAGTAATGCTAAACAAGCCAGATTCAAGAAAACACATTACGATCCCACTTACATGAAGAACATGGGCAAATCCATAGAGACAGAAATAATATAGAGCCAGGATGGCAAGATGCTTAACGAGTAGAGAGTTTCTAACTGGGATGCTGAAAAAGCTCTGAAAATGGACAATGATGGTGGCTACACAATATTCTGAACAGACTGAGACAATGTTTAATACTTACAAGCAATACAAGCAAACATTTAATACTTAAAATGGTTAAATGGTTAAAAGGTTAAAATGGCTGGGGATGTACCTCAGAGCATTTGCTTAACATCCAAAGACCCTGGCTTTGACCCTCAGTTTGGGGTGAAGGGGTATGTGTTAAAATTGCAAAAACTACTTTATATATATTTTCCACAATAAAAAAGCCCCATCCAAATTCCAAATGTACCATCATCATCCTCTAAACTCCACTTTTTCCCTTGTTTCATCTCTTCGATTTCCTTTTTCAGTTCTCCTATGTTTTCCATGGCCTTTTTACGCTGTTCTTCTCGCCATTTTTCAACTCTTTCTTTTCGCTTTCTCATTTCTTCCTCCAGCTTATTCTGGTCAAAGTTCTTGGGAGAGGGAAAGAGAAAGAGACAGAGATAGAGAAACAAAAAGTGGGAAAAATCAAAATCACAATCAGCATTAACAATTATATTCCACATGAGATTCTAAATAAGTTCTCCAAAGTCTATAAAGGGAAAAACACATGGTTTCTAAATTTCTGAATGTAAACCAAATTTGTAATCAGTCACCTTTCTAATTATATTAAAATCAGGGCAAGTGAGATAGCTTAGAGGGTAAATATGCTTACTGCCAAGCCTGCTGACCTGAGTCCTATCTCCCTGGGATCTACAAGGTAAAAACAGCACCGGCTCCTGTGAGTTGTCCTCTGACTTCTGCACTTGTGTGCAACACACACCCCACCACAAAAATAAATAAATAGGGGCTGGAGAGATGGCTCAGCAGTTAAGAGCACTGACTGCTCTTGCAGAGGACCCGGGTTCGATTCCCAGCACCCACATGGCGGCTACAAACCATCCTTAACTCCAGTTCCAGGGGAATCTGAAGCCCTCTTCTAACCCCCGCAGCTTTGCACAACACAGGTTCACTCACATACATGCAGGCAACACACTCATACACGTAAAATAAAAATAATAAAATATTTAAAATAAATAAAAAAATAAATGTTAACAAAAAAATTTTTTTTCTAAAAATCAAATCACAAAGCCACACCTGGTCATGCACACCTGCAATCCTGGGAAGCCAGGGATAGTTCCAGGCCAGCCTAAGCCATATAGAAAGACCCTGAGAAAGAAAAGAAGGGAGGAAAGGAATAATAAAAAGCAGGCTGGAGAGATGGCTCAGTGGTTAAGAGCGCTGGCTTCTCTTGCAAAAGACCCAGGTCCAATTCCCAGCACCCACATAATGGCTAACAACTGTCCATAACTCCATTTCAAGGGGATTCGACTCCTTCTGATATCCCAGCACTGCACGAATGGGTGCACCTACCTACCTACAGGCAATACACTCATACACAAATAAAAATAAAGTATTTCTTAAAAACAGATAAAAATATTTTCAATGAAGAATGCCAAAAGGCAGATCTCAGAACTATATATTAATCTCGTTTCAATCATAAGAAATATGTACAAAAGTTACAGATTTTTCACTCAGAATAAAACAGAATCAACTGGCAAACATTTTCCCAATTGTCAGGTTTAAATCCCAAGACATGTTGTTTTCTTAGGCTTTAAGTCAAAGTTTTCTGGAAACAACCATTTTAAAGTCTTCATTGCTCCCAAGAGAAGGAGACAGGCCTGGAGAGATGACTCAGTGGTTAAGAGCATGTACTGCTCTTCCAGAGGACCCAAGATCAATTCCCAACACCAATGTCAGGTAGCTAATAACCACCTGTAATTCCAGCTCCAGGGGATCCGATACCTCTATCCTCTGTGGGCTACAGCATTCATGTGCACATACACATACACAGACACACATATACAGATACACACACATGCATAATGGCTCACAAGATTGCTTTGAGTTTGAAGTCAACCTGGCCTACACAATGAATCAGGGGCCAACTAGAATCAGGGCTGCTTCCCTAGCATGCACAAAGCCCTGGGTTGGATCCCCAGTATCACATAAATGGGGCATGGTGGGCACACACCTGTCTGTAATCCCAACACTTGGGAGGCAGAGGCAGGAGGATCAGGAGTTAAAGGTCATCCTCAACTACAGAGCATGAGATCCTTTCTCAAAACCATCCTCTCTAAAGAAGAGCCTCTGAAACTGCTTTTTCTCAAGATCATTCATTCATTCAAAAACAGAAACTAGCTACAAAGCCAGATGCCCAGACCTCCCTTATTCTGCTTAGAAGTACTTGCCCCTGAAAAAGGAACCACAAAAAAAGAGAACACACTAAGCCAGGCAAGGTGGCACCCACCTTTAATTCTAACACCACTGGGGAGGCAGAGGCAGGTGAATCTCTGTGAGTTCAAGACCAGCGTGGTTTACATAGTGAGTTCCAGGTCAGCTGGGGCTACAGGGAGACCCTGTCTCAAAAAGACTGAGAGCGAGGGCGAGAGAGCGAGAGAGAGCGAGAGAGAGCGAGAACTAAAAAGCAAACACAAAAGCTGAAGCAATAGCATATTCTAAGGTAAGCAAAAGATACAGACAATTCAAAAGAAAGGCACACAGTCAGTAAGCTTAAGAAAACATTAAATTTGTTCTAGTTGTAGCATCTAAATATTTGCTCATTTGAAAACAGAAATAACAGTAGCAAATATCAATTATTTCCTAGTAAATAAATTTTTAAAAAGGCATCCCCATGTTGGCAAAGATGTTAAGGAAAAATACAGTCATGTGCCTAAACTTTAAAAAAAAATTAGCTATTACTTATTAGTGTGTGTATGCAAGGGCACACATGCCATAGAATGAGTGTCATCACGGTCAGAAGACAATTCTGTGGAGTCAATTCGAGTTCTCCATTTTTTTGTAGGTTCTTAGGCTCTAACTTAGATCACCAGACCTATGTGATAAGTGACTTTACCTGCTGAACCATCTCCCTGGTCCCATATGCCAAAATTCTTGAGCCTAAATTTATAATTTTTTGAGGCCAATTTGACACTATGTACGTGGATTGATCACAATTTTCTAAAAACATAATATTTACAAAAATGCATAATTTTTCAGAAAAATTTCTTATCAAGACTTATCTTGCTGTTTTATGATTGTTATCAATTATCTAAAAATAAAGCACATAACATTAAGAAATAATGTCACAGTAGAAACAAGATTAATATTCTATACTTATTTTAAAGTTAGTGGACATACACCAGCATCTTTTTCTTTTTCATCTTCCTTATCATCTTTGTCTTTTTTCTTCTCTTTAGAACTTTCCCCGCCTTCTGTTTTCTCTTTGGACCTAGACCTACCAAAAAGAAAAAGAGAGAGAGGGTAAAAAAAGATGTATCATATATTTGTGCTTGAAACTACAACACTCGTTAAAATTCCTTTTTAATTATTTAATTATTTAGTGTATGTGTATGTGTGTACACGCCACAAGGCATGCATCTGCATGTCAGAGGACAACTTGCAGGAGTCAGTTCTCACCTTCTACCATTTGGATCTAGAGTTCATCAAGCTTGGCATCAAATGTTTTCACCTGCTGAGCCACTTTGCCAGTCCTACGATATTCATTTTAAGACTACTTAATAGACTTGGGTTCCCTTTTTTTTTTTTTTTTTTTCCAGAAAAATAGGACTTTTTTGTTGTGCCCCAGTGTCCCTAACACCTTCCCCATCAGTTTTAAAAACCGTGAGCAATTTGGTGAGTCTGAGGCCAGGACCCATTGGGTGTCCAGATCCTGCTGTCCTTAGGGCCAGAGGTGCCATAGAGGTGGATGTCCACCCAACTAGGGCCCCACAGGTTCATGGCTGGGCCCCCAGGGCTAAAAGTCCAACTGGACCACAGTGTGGGCCCTGGGTACAGCGGGTTCAGGGGCAGGTGCTGTGGGTGCCAGGCCTAGGGCGCCTAGGGAGCGAATGCTGCTGACAGGCGGGGTGGCCTTGGCCTGGCCTGATGTCTGGCCGCCGAGTTTCGTTTTCTTTTTTTTCCAATAATCAATTATTTTCATATCTCAATAACAAATACTTTGACATATGAGATAAATCTTTTGACACGAAGGGCAAACATTACCAAACATTTGGAAACAGAATTACGAAATTATAATTACAAAATTTAAACACGAAAGTAAAATTTTAGTAATTTATTTATGCAGAAATATTTAAAAATCACAATAGGCTTACATTTTCACTTAGGTCTCCAATAATGAATGAAATGTTTTAATTTTAATGTAATAAAATTAATCTCCCCTCTCCCCTTTATGATCAGTGTTTATGTGGTTTACAGAATTCCTTTCAGGTTTGATGAAGATACCCAGAGATGAAAGATATTCTCCAATATAAACTTCTAAAGGATTGCCATCTAATTATATTTGCCATCTAATTTGCTCTTTATTCTGCCTGGGACTGCTTTCTGTGAACACAGTTAGGCAAGCAGTTCTATTTTATGAGACTAGCGAACAGCCCTAGTGCCATTTATTTTAAAAACCTTTCTCTACTGACTGTATTGTCTCCTGTCACTACCAAATTACCTTATACATGGTTTTTTTTCTGGGCTCTGTCTACAGTTTTCACTGTTCTATTTTCTGTATCTACACAAATACCTAATATTACCCTAAATTTTCTAACTGTATGACATGTTTTTTATTGATATGGCAGAGGGGAGTCCTCCAATCTTGTTCAGAATGTTTCCTTTTGTATTTCTAATTTGCATGTGTCCAGGAGTGTGCAGCTGCACATGTGTAGAAGCCAAAGGCCAACCTTGGGTGCTGTTCCTCAGGAGCTACCCACATTGTCTTTTGAGACAGGGTCTCTCACTTGCCTGGACCCTGCTGTTTTAGGCTAGGATACACCTGTCTCTCCTCCCCAGCATTGTTGACTGCCCACACACAACACACTGTTTCATGTGGTGCCAGGGACTGAACTAAGACCAAGTACTCTACCAACTGAGCCATTTCCCCAGCCCCATTTCTAATTTTATGATGAGTTTATAAAAAAATATCCTTCTACTCATGTCTGCTAAGAAGCTTTAAAACATGAATATGTTAAATTTAATAGAAACAGGGCCTGGGCAGATAGCTCAATGGGTAAACTGCTTACTATGCAAGCATGAAGACCTGAGGTCAGATCCCCTATGGCCAGATGAAAATTGTGGGAAGAAAATTCCCAGGGATTCACTGACCATTCCCACTCAATAGTCAATATTCCAGCAAAGGCAGGCAGATTCTGTGAGATCCAGGGCAGCCTGGTCTGTATAGAGTTCCGGGCCAGCTGGGGCTATAGGGAGACTGTCTCAAGAAAAATGAACTCAATATAAATAAATAAATTAAATAAATGAATAAATGAATGAATGAATGAATAAATAATAAATAAATAATCAGTAGTGGCTTCACCTAAAGAGATAGAGTGCTGAGTTAGAAAGAAGTGAAATGGAAGGGATACTGATGTTTGATTTCCTGACCTTAACACATGGGTATTTACTTCATAATTATTTCAAAGTTAATTACTTCATTCACTTCTGAATTTAAAAACACACACACTTTTAATTTTGTTATTGCATGCAAGTGTGTTTGTGTGTGTGAGTGATAGCACACATGTAGAGTCCAGAGGTCATCTTTATAGTCAGTTCCCTCCTTTCACTTCAGGTGAGTTTTAAGAACTGAACTAAGGTCATCAGGTTTGTATGACAAGTGCTGTACCCACTGAGCTGTCTTATCAATCCTTTGGGTTTGTTTTTTTTTTCCTGAGACAGAGTCTTGCTATGCAGTCCTAGCTGGCCTCAAACTCCAGCAATCCTTCTGCCTCAGCCTGCAAAGTGCTGGGCTTGAAGGTATACATCACCATGCCTAGCTGGCTTTATTTTTAATTTCAAGAAATCTCAACAATATTACACTGACTTTGGCAAAATAAAAGTAAAACGAACAAATTATTGGTGAGAGAAACATGAATAGCAAACATGTTTATCAGACAAAATATATTTAAAAATCTAATATTACTAGCATCCCAGGAAACATACACATTTAACACACACAAACAAAGGTCATCCATTCTAAATAGCAATTCAGTAATGTGTATGTGGTGGTTTGAATGAGAACGTTCCCCACAGGCTCCAGTTGGTGGTACTGCTCAGGGAAGTTTTAGCTGGACCATGAAGCATGTCACTGGGGGTAGGTTTTGAGAGTTCTTAAGCCTTGCCAGATTTCCAGTGGCTCTCTGGTTCCAGTGCCTGCTTGAAGATGTGATTACTGGACTTTCTATTCTGGCCATCTCTGCTGCCATGCCTCCCCACCATAATGGACTCTTCCCTCTCTGGAACTGTAAGCCAAATGAGTTCTTCCTTCTGTAAGTTGCCTTGGTCATGCTGTTTTACCACAGCAACAGAGAAGAAACTGATACAGTATACCATGAATTTAAATAGTTATTTGTCAACAACTATAATAAATAACTGAGAAAATAATCTCAGGAAGAAATTCTGGGGCTAGAGATGTAACTCAGTGTAGCGTGCTTGCCTAGCCTGTGTGAGGACTAGAGTCCAATACTCAGCACTGCCCCTACAAAAATGTTCACAAAATGTCTGACCATTAATAATACATAAATGAGACTATAACGCACAGTTTTAAAATCAATTGAATCTACTGTTTTCCAAAAGAATTTTAAACCTCACAACCTAATTAAAACTTCGCCAACAGTTCAGAGTAAAAGTCAAACTTGTATAATTATTTGTAAGGATAAATTTAAAGGGCAAAGATAAAAAGACACAGGGAGGGGAATCAGTTCCCACCTCGTACAACAGACACAGTCCCAAGCCAGCATTACCTATTCTCAGCCTTCTTGCTTTTACCGCCAGGACTGGAGGAGCGGGAACGCCGGCCCCGGCTTCTACTCCTTGAGCGCCTCCTATCTCGGCTCCGAGATCGTCTTCGCTCTCGGCTTCTGTCTCTCTCTCTGCTTCTGGAACGCCTGAAAGGGGAACACTTTTCATTTATATTTGTGGCTGAGAGGAGCTAGTTCAGATAACTGTCCCATATTGAAAAAAGTTTCTTAAATTATGATCATTATTAAAGGCAAAGATCTCAATTAGGAATCAAATGAGCCAGTTCCCACAAGTACTCAATGATAACATGGGGAGACTAATTCCATAATGATGTTTGTTTGAAAACATAACAAACCTGTAATAAGAGTTATTTAAAATCTACAGTCTATAGTATAAAAGCTAATTTTCAAAGACAATTTAAGACTGGGAATATAGCTCAGTATTATTACACTTGCCTAGCATGTGCAAGGCCCCAGGTTTATCCCAGCAGGAGGGAAACCTACCCGCCAAGTATAAGGATAAAAAGAATACGACTGGGGTTGGGGAGGAAGATCACTGATCTAGTGACCAGGAGGCAGTAATTTCTACCAATGTACTGCTAGCAACCAGCGAGACAGAGGTCAGCCCTCCAATTCTGAGGATCTCAGTTTCCTTATCTAAAAAATATGGACAATTCATTACAAAAATCTCAAAACTGGTTTTTGTTTGTTTGTTTTTAGCCCTGGCTGGCCCAGAACTCATTCACAGATCCTCCTGCCTATGCCTCCTGAATGCTGGGATTAAAGGCATGTGCCACTATGCCCAGTCTGAAAACAATTTTTAAAAAATATTTTATTGTTGCTGGGCGTGGTGGCGCATGCCTTTAATCCCAGCACTTGGGAGGCAGAAGCAGGCAGATCTCTCTGAGTTCAAGGCCAGCCTGGTCTACATAGTGAGTTCCAGGACAGCTAGGGCTGTCTCAAAAAAAACTTAAAAAAAAAAAAAAAAAAAAGATTTGTTTTTATTTTATGTGTATGAGTATAGATGCACCCATGTTGTACAATGCCCATGGAGGTCAGAAGAAGGCGTCAGATCCCCTGGAACTGGCATTATAAACAGTTTTTAGCTGCCATGTGGGTGCTAGGAACCAAACCTGAGTCCTCTGCAAGAGCAGCCAGTGCTCTTAACCACTGAGCCATCTTTCTCTACACCCCCTAAAATATTTCTTGTTCTAAAATTTTGTGATTCTAATTTCACATAAAAAGTCAGTAACAGCTGGGCATGGTGGCATATGCACTTGGGAGGTAGAGACAAATGAATCTCTGTTAGTTCGAGACTAACCTGGTCTATGTAGTGGGTTCCAGGCTAGCTGGGGTTACAAGGAGACCCTGTCTCAAAAAAAAGACTAAAAAAATCTGCAATACTGTAGTGCCCACCTGTGGCTAAGGGAGATAACCCACCATTGTTCTAAAATGATGGATAAATCTTTTTTCTCCCTATCTGAATGCCTTTTCGAGGGAACTGACACTGATTCTAGCCATTCCAAAAGCTATCAAAGTGCCTGAAAAGCAAATCCTGAATCTATCACTCTCAAGTCCAGACTTGGTAGACAAAAGAAACATGAGGAGGAATCCAATGGAGGGATGCTTTTGAAAGCTCTCATCAAGAAATTTCAATGGACTCTGATATGAACATTTGAAATTTGCCCTGCTCTGACTTTTTTCTGGGTGTTGGGAATCAAACCCTGTCTAGAACTTGTAATGCTAACTACTCTTGCCTTTACTTCTCCTTCACATCTCCTTGGTACCAGTCAAGGATTTTCTTTTCTCCCTACAGTTAAGAGTTGTGCAATTTGAGAGGTAGATCCACTGAAGGGGTACCCCAATTACCTCACCCTGCATCCCTATTCAGCATGGAAGAAGCCAGAATGGTCTGTGTCCCTATTCCCTATTGGCAATCTGGGTAACCTCTTCAGGGGATGGTGTGGTAAGAATAGGAGGTAGGAATTGGCTATGCAGTTAGGGTAAAAAGACCCAAAAGAAAAGTAGCCAGTTTCTTGGTTAAATATCAAAATGTCCTTGGGCCTCTTAGCAACATATACTGTTCCAAAGGCCAAAAAATCAAAAGTACTTGGGAGCTGTTATCTTGTCCCTAAAAGATTTTAGGGTTACCTCTTCAGAGCTCCATAAAAAAAAAAAAAACATGAAGTTGTCAGAAAAAAGTGATATGGGAGATATGGGAGGAGTTGGAGGGGAGGGAGTGGGTGTAGGTTTGATCAAAAATACATTTAGCAACATATACTGTTCCAAAGGCCAAAAAATCAAAAGTACTTGGGAGCTGTTATCTTGTCCCTAAAAGATTTTAGGGTTACCTCTTCAGAGCTCCATAAAAAAAAAAAAAACATGAAGTTGTCAGAAAAAAGTGATATGGGAGATATGGGAGGAGTTGGAGGGGAGGGAGTGGGTGTAGGTTTGATCAAAAATACATTTTATGCATGTATGAAAT